GCGGCTGTTTTCTGCTTTTGCCCCGCCGGCTGGCGCGCAGCTTCCTGGGGCCGGTGGGGAACGGGGCGTCGGGCAGAGCCGGCTGAGGCCCAGCCAGTCAGACGTCCCCGCAGGGAGCTGCTTGGCAGGAGACAGCAGAACCCATGGCCTTGCTGCTGAGCGGAGGGACAAGCTCCAGCGGCACCTCGCAAGGAAGTGCCTAGAGATCAGGCTGGGGGTGAGGCCGGCCCTGGTGGAGAGATCCCAGAGAGTGGCCACGGAGGGGGAGAGGATACCCCTCCCCAAGCTGATCTGCGCAGGCCAGAAGCCCCCCAAGGTCAGGGCCGGCTCCCTGCCCTGCCTGCCGCCCACGGCAGTGGATATTCTGGACATGAACGTGAGACACAAGCAGCTGGCGCATCTCTGGGGGCTGCCCACGCTGCAGGCGGCGTCTCTGCGGAGGATGATGCCCAAGGCTCCGGCTGTGCCGCTGGGGAGCGCAGCGGGGAGGGCCTGGATGGAGAAGGGCCTGGCTGGACGCGTGGGGGCCGAGGAGCCGGAGAGGAACGGCTACGAGGAGCCGGTTCCCCTGACAGGAGCCGGCACAGTCGAGCTGCTGGTGCCCCACCCGGGGCCGCCTCTGGTCACAGCCGAGGCCAGGGACCGTCTGGAGAGCCACATGCTGAGGAAGAAGCTCCAGCGCGAGTGGGGCTTACCGCGCATGGTGCAGAGATCACTGGGTGCGTTCACACCCCTGCCACTTGGGAGGGGGCTCCCGAGGCGGGGCCAGGCCCCAGCCAGAGAGAGCGTTGCCATGGGCAGCCTGCACTTCCTGTGCACGGAAACCAGGGAGCACCTGGAGTCGCACGTGAGGAAACTGGCCCTGCAGCGGAGATGGGGCCTGCCCAAGAGGATCCTGGAGTCCTTACGGCTGTTCCTGCCACCTGCCCCACCAGGAGCAGAGCCCAGAGGCCAAACCCAGCCCCTGCTCCATGTCTGCCATACACCCCGCCAAGGTCCTACAGCCCTCTCCATGGGGCAATCGGGAGAGCTCCAGACAGGCCTCAGGGAGCCCCTCACCCACCGGTCCCAGCACTGGCATGAAATGGGGGTAAAGGAGGGCAAAGCCAGCTGCCCCGAGGCAGTGCCCCAACACGCCCTGGGGAGCAGCAGCAGGAGAAGCCAGGAGACCTCCCAGACAAGTGATGGGGAAGGGTCCCCCGGCTCCCCACCCCGCTTCCCAGAGGACAAGGCAGAGCTGAAATCCACCCTGGACTTTCCCGGGAAGAAGGTGCTGGGAATTTCCCACCGGGCCCAGGGGTCCCAGAGACTGGCCTTTCGCCCAGCGACCCATGAGCCTCACCCACAGCAGAGAGAGCAGAGCTCTGAGGAAAGTCCCGGGCAGTGGAGCACCCACGATGGTGAAGGAGCTCCACGGCTGGCGGGGACCGGCAGGCGTTCCTGGAGCTCGTCTGTGGAGACAGCCGTTTGGAGTGAGAAGAGGATCTCACGGGAGCTGGAATCCAGCTTCAGGAGAATGGCCCGGAGCCGCAGCCGCCATGGCCCAGGGGGGAAGCAGCCTCTGTCTCTGGAAATCGTGGGCCACCTGGAAATGGACCATTGCACATGCTTGCACTGCCCGTGCAGCAAGCTAGAGGGGTGGGACGGCGCCCGCTCTCTGGGAACCAGCTCTCCGGTGTGGCAGACACAGCGTATCCATGTAAGGGGGTCAGCAACTCTCCTAGGAGACGCGGCAGATTCAAACCCTCTGCATGCTGAGCCTGGATGGCAGGGGCAGGGCGCTCCCAGCGTGGCCAAAGATGAACCACCTGTCTCCTCTCCATCGTCTCTGGAGGGCAGCGAGTCCAGGGCCTCCGACTGGTCTGCGGGAGAAAGCGCTCGCGCAGCCTCTCGCCCAGCGCCCGAGGGGCCCTCGCTGGCACGGGAGCATCTTGCTCCTCCGCGGGCCGCGGCACACCGGCTGGACATCCACCTGGCGCAGAAGGCCCTGGGCTCCTTCATCCTGCCGCCCTGCGTCATACACTCCCAGGCCGTCTATGCCGACATGGCAGCTGAGCGGCTGAGAGCCGCTGCCCAGGAACACCGGCGGAAAATGAACATCCGGCTGCAGCGCAGGAGGAGCCGGAAAAGCCAACTGGGAGGGCCCCGTCAGGAAGCCCTGGGAGAAAGAGCCCGCCCCGCGGGCACAGGAGAGCCGGGATTCCTGACAGCTGGAACAAACGTGAGGCAGACAGAGGCCCTGGTGCTGACTGAGGCACCTCCCAGGGCTGAACAGCCACCCCGTGCTCCTCCAGGGAGAGGGGCCAAGTCACCGTTCGTCCCCTGCAAGGGGAAGGGCCCCACCTTCAGGGGAATCATACTGGGCTTCCTTGAACGTGTCACTTCCAGGGCATCAGTAGGGGAGAGAGGACAGGTCGACAGGTCGGTGGCTGCACCGCGTGGAGCCCCGCCACCCCCTCGGAAACTCACCCCGTCCCCCAAGAGCGTGAAGCTGTCCCCGTCACTCAACAGAGGAAATGCCACCGAGGACACATCCGGGACAGTCGGAGCGTCTAACCTGGAGCGCCGTGGACACCGGGCCGGGGTGGAAACTGAGCTTCCGCAGCCAGGGTCACGTCTTGGCAAGAGCGCAGGCCACGTGTGCTGGTTCCATCAGCGTCATGCTCATGCCCACCTTCGCCAGGTACACGGCAGAACGCCAGCGCTGCGCGGAGAGAACCTGTGTGCCCTGCGGGAGAGGATGCAGGTCCGGAGGAGGAAGCTGTCCCCGTCCCTCAACAGCGCCGCCTCCGAAGAGGAGAGCCGCCTCCGGGCCTTGGATGAGAGTTAGGACTGGTTCGCTAATAAACCTCTATTTTGTGTGCAATCCACAGGAGTGATCTGGGGTCCGACACAGCAGTAGGGGGGAAGGCAGGGTCTAGTGGCTGGCACTACTGTTGCCAGGTGTCCAGTTTTCGACAGGGACACTGGAGGCTCCGGTCTGCACCGTTGACTGGGCCATTAAAAGTCCATCTGGTGGCGCAGCGGGGCTAAGGCAGGTTCCCCGCCTACAGTGGTTTCGCACAGCGCCAGAAGTAGCAGTATGTCTCCCTTCCAGTTCCTACGCATAGGGGAAGCCAGGAGGCTCCGCACGCTGCCCCCACCTCCAGCGCCAGCTTCACAGCTCCCATTGGCCTCGGTTCCTGGCCAATAGGCGTTGCGGGGCAGTGTCTGCGGACAGGGCAGCGCGCAGAGCCCCCTGGCCGTGCCTCTGCGTAGGAGTCGGAGAGGGAACATGCCACTGCTTTCGGGAGCTGTCTGAGGTAAGTGCCGCCTAGATCCTGCACCCCGACCCCCTCCTGCCCCCCAACCCCTGCCCCAGCCCTGACCCCCCTCCCACCCCCCAAGCCCCTCAGGCCCAGCCTGGAGCCCCGTCCTGCACCACAAACCCCTCAGGCCCAGCCTCACCCCAGAGCCTGCACCCCCAGCTGAAGTCCTCACCCCCTGCACCCCAACCCACTGCCTCACCCTGAACTCCTCATTTCTGGCCCCACCCCAGAGCTGGCACTCTCTACTAGAGCCCTCATCCCCTCCTGCACGCCAACCTCCAGAGCTAGCCCAGTGAAAATGAGTGTGTGAGTGAGGGTGGGGAGAGTGAACGACGGAGGGAGGGGGGATGGAGTGAGAGGGGGCGGAGCCTCGGAGAAGGGGCAGGGCAGGGGGCAGGGCAAGGTTGTTTGGTTTTGTGCAAGTAGAACATTGGCAACCCTATCTGTGCAGCGCCTGGCACAACAGGGCTCTGATCCCAGCTGGGGCAGGGCCTGTCTCTCACACTGTGTCTGTGCAGCACCCGGCACAACAGGGCTCTGATCCCAGCTGGGGCAGGGCCTGTCTCTCACGCTGTGTCTGTGCAGTGCCTGGCACAAGGGGGCTCTGATCCCAGCTGGGGCAGGGCCTGTCTCTCGCGCTGTGTCTGTACAGCGCCTGGCACAACGGGGCTCTGATCCCAGCTGGGGCAGGGCCTGTCTCTCGCGCTGTGTCTGTGCAGCGCCTGGCACAACGGGGCTCTGATCCCAGCTGGGGCAGGGCCTGTCTCTCGCGCTGTGTCTGTGCAGCGCCTGGCACAACGGGGCTCTGATCCCAGCTGGG